CAAAAATATCTCCATATTCACTAATAACAATAAACATAATATTCTTCCTTCCTGAAACTTTATTCCATAATCCATGTGGCATCATTTCATGTTGTTCTGAATTAAATATCACAATTTTATTTCCTAATTGAACCCATTCTTTTAATATTTTAAATGGACTTTCTTCTTTAACTTCTTTATACATTGGAACTTTATCTGAATGATTCCAACTTAATGTATCCATCAATTGTTTGAACTTATCCTTTTTTTCTTCTCTTTAAGTATTCTTTTTAAACCCTTTAGATGCTTTCTCAATTATCTCAACTCATGTTATTCTTCTACATAACCCTGATGCAATTTCTAAAACTACACTTTCCCTTTCTTTTTACAAAAACTATATTCTTATAATATCTTTACTATCACTTTATTCTTTGAATTTTCTTCTTTTCTTATTTCTTTCGTTCTTTTTGACTTCATCTCTTTCTTAAAGTTCTTTTGACTCTTTATTTGAAAAACTATTTTCAATTGTCTTCTCTCTTTCTATTTTTAAAACCCAATAATTCAATTAAACTTCAACTTTAATATTTGAACATCGCTCTTGTATAGCAAATGGCGAATTTCTTTCAACTACTTTATAATATTCTCCTTCAACACACCCTAAAACATAATTTGCTTCATGAATATTAAGATGGTGAGTGTATAATTCTCCATTTAATTCCAATGAATTAGTTTGAATATTTTCAGTGAAAGATTTTCCAGTGACGATGAGATGTTTTGTATTAATATATCCTCTTGATTTTGTGTTATTCAGTATTAATGTATTTATTTCAACATTGTCGAATGTAGCATTAGTGTTTTTAACAAGAACTTCATTCCATTTTCCTTGAATTACTGAATTAGGTAAATAAGCAATTAAATCTAGATATTGAGAATACAACTGACAATCCCATTTATTATAATGAACTCCTTTAGTGTCATTCCATAAAAATTTACATAAACACCCTTCTTTGGAATCTATAGTTTTAATATATTCTTCATATTCACTTTGTACACAATCAGTATAACGAGTATATCCATTTCTTTCACAAAGAGCAATTGGTTTGTAAGTATCATCTTGATGAACACCATAAAGATCGAAATTAAATGGGGTGGTAGTAATATTTCCAATACCAATAAATGCAGTTTCACATGTTTGTCTTCTTTTTGAATTAGCAGGTTGAATTACAACATTAACATTTCCTTTAAGGAGAATATAATCTGTAGGTGGCATAAAACTACGAACAATAACAATTCTGTTTCCGTCGACTGAGTTAATGACATACTTCAAGGGGAATTCGTTATCAATTTTTGAAAACCTAATAGTTGTATTTTTTGTTTGTACATTTAATTCAAAATCTTTTTCTAATGAGAAAGAGTAAAGAGATAATGTGTGTTGGTATTGTTGAGCATAACTTTGTATTGTTAGATTTTCTGTTGACGCATAATATTGTTTACGTACAACCATTGTTTTCATTTTATCCATACCAAGAAAAACGTCAACATCATTAGAATTCTCCATTTGAATTGTTAATTGTTTTGAAGTATTTAATAAATTAAATACTGTTGAAGAAGAAATACTAAAAGTATATTCTTCAGGGTTAAATGTGCATGGTTTATCTTTGAAATGAATGAGTGTATTATTTTTATAATAATCACAATAAGCAAAGATTGTTGTAATAAACAAAAAGATAAACATGAAGAAAAATTTTTCTCTTTATTTTTAGTTCATTTTCATAAAAAAAGATAAAATTGAATATTAAAAGAAGTTATAACAATAACTTTCTATATTAGACCATAGTATGTAGAATAAATAAATAATAACACTCATCCTTTTATTAATATAGTTTCAGTGTTATATCCTTTTCTTTCATTATTTTTTTGTTTGCAATATGTTTATTTTATAGAGCTAAATATTTTTTTACAATAATAAATTCAATTTTGGTATTTACTGTTATTAATAGTCAAGTTATTTATACTAGATAACTATTATTGATCTTATTTTCTTAAAGAATTCTTTGTTGTTTACACAACAAACTATTCAATAAAATTGTTGAAAAGAGAAAGTCCAAATAAATAAACAAAAATAAAATAACTTTCATATAGTTTTTTTGAAAATAAAGGAATAAAAGTATAATGAAAAGAATATA